TCTCAAACCTTCAAATCTTCAATCCTTTGAACTATATTATTTCCCATCAAGCTCCAATCCAACTTTCCCATCTCCCATCGTTTCTCTATCACCAAAAGCCAATAAAACATTCAAACATTCGAACACTCAAGTCGAAGATGCACCCACCCCTAGACACCACCATAACCTACGCCATTGATTTCAATATAAACCATTCCCGACAATCCCCGACGATCTAATATAAGAAGAAATCGCAGCGGAACGTGTTCAGGAAGTGTCAAACTTCCGACGTTCGATGCATTTGCATTCTGGCACCGCGGAAATCCCGTAACGGTGTCGGGCTGATTTATTGCCTCGAACAAAAAGCCTCGCGGCAGCCGGCGGCTGCTGGCAAGAAGCTCCCCAAAGGTTCATCGACGAGCCGTAGGCTTTTTGCTGAGAAATCCGTCGACTTGGCCGTCAGCCGCGGTTCCCTCGATTAGAAAGTTGTGGCGTATCGCGGCTGCAATCCTCTTAACACGTTCTCTTAACAATTGCATTATTATTATTGCATGTTCATCTAGCTGAATGCCACAGCATTACTTAGCATTATTTATAATATAAAAATGTTTTCAAATAACCATGGTCTAATTGAGTTGGAACGTTGAATTAGAATTCGCTAAAAAATCATATACTTCAAAAGGGAGGTACAATATTTGAGTTATTTGATTCGAGTATCTTATTATTTTTGATGATAGGAAGAAACGACGAATGAAAATGAGAAAGTTTAGGTAGTTCAACAATTAAGGGGACACAATATTTATGAATTATTGAAAATTATAGTCTCGAGAATTTATCAAATCTGATTTAGTCGAATGAAAGTTTATTTGTTCGATTGAAACTGCCATTATTGAATTTGAAATGTTGAAAGTACTTCGGCGTTTGGGATACCGAAAATAACGAATTTCACTGAAAGCTGAGAAAGGAAACTTCAATCGGTTCTTGCCGTTTAAAACTTTTTCAGAGCATCGTTGAATTGAATGCAACCTTTATCTTATACATTCTCGCACAAAGAGATTTATTCAATACCTCTACGAGCAAGATTGAAAGACGGTTGTGATTATTGTCTTAAAAAAAGGGGATACCTCTCTCCTCTTTTCCATGAGTAAGAGCTACACTCCTCGAGTACTCGTACTCCCGCTCGTTGAGCGACCGACGATGCACCGACGGAATGCACCTTTCAAGCATCAAGCTAGGAAGGTGACTCCTGCTCGGAGAACGAATTAATGGAGGGCGAAAGAAAGACAGTCGCAGAGTTCAAATATTTT